GGGCCCGGGGTGCCCGCAGCCGTACCCGGATCAGCTCGTTCTGCAGCCGCTGGACCCGGTCCCGCAGCCCCCGCATCTCCGCAGCGCCCACCGCCAGCTCACGCCCCAGCGTGCCTGCAAGGACATGTCCCTGTCACCCAGGCAGGGTGGCAGTGCCCAAGAACATGTCCCCATCACCCCTGCAGGGTGGCAATGTCCCTGCTCATCCCCAGGGTGGCAGTGCCCAAGGACATGTCCCCATCACCCAGGCAGGGTGGCAGTGCCCTGTACTCACCAAGTCGCTCCAGCAGCTCCTCCCGGCTCAGTTTGTCTGGCTGGGTGTGCTGGAGTTCCACCGGCTCCCGGAGCTGCGCCAGGCTGTGCCGCAGGTGTCCGTTCTCGGCCTCCAGGCTGGCGACGCGGCGGCGCAGGGACAGCAGGTCCCCTGCCATCCTCTGCAGTGCCAGGTGGTAACGGCCAAGCCCCTGGAGCCCGGAGCAGAGCCTGGCACCACTGGACATCCCGGAGTGGTGGCACCGCCGGATGTTCCGGAGCAGAGCCTGGCACCACCGGGCAGCCCAGGGATGTCACCCTTGGCTCCCAGGGACTGGCTCGGGATGAGGGTCAGACACACCATGGAGGAACTGAGAGGTGTCCAGATTGTCCCTGGTTCTTATCATCATCCATCCTTTTCTCCATGTTCTTCTCCATCCATCCATCCATCCATCCATCCATCCATCCATCCATCCATCATCCATCCATCATCCATCCATCCATCCATCATCCATCCATCATCCATCATCCATCCATCATCCATCCATCATCCATCCATCCATCCATCCATCCATCATCCATGGATCCATGGATCCATCCCCTCTTTCCCTGGCTGCAGCCAGACCAAGGGTGGGAAGCAGAAGATTTTTCCCTCGTTGATTTCCAAGGGAAAAAATTCCCTCTAAACAGGCTCCAGTTCCAGGCCTGGCTTTTCCCAGTTCCTGAAGGGATGATTTTCACTTTCAGCTCTCCCGGGAAATCTGACTTGGGAATGAAAAATCCCAATGTTTTTGTTTAAGAAAAATGTCCAATGAAATGTCCTGGATTTTCCCTTTCCCACATGTTTTCCACTTTAATTCCAGGCTGAAATTATTCCAGGATCAATCCCAGAGCCCTGGAGAGATGCGGGGTCCTGGCATGGGAATGGGATCGTGGCATGGGATTGGGATCCCGGTGTGGGATTGGGATCCTGGCATGGGAATGGGTTTGTGGCATGGGATTGGGATCGTGGCATGGGATTTGGATCCTGGTGTGGGATTAGGATCCTGGTGTGGGAATGGGATCCTGGAATGGGAATGGGATCTCAGTGTGGGAAAGGGATCCTGTGTGGGAAAGGGATCCTGGAATGGGATCCCAGTGTGGGAATGGGATGCCAGCGTAGGATTGGAACCCCAGCATGGGAATGGGATCGTGGCATGGGATTTCAGCATGGGACACAGATCTTGGGATGGGACCAGCACAGATCTTGGAGTGCCAGCACAGGACAGGGATCCTGCTATGGGACTGGGATCATGGAGCAGGACTGGGATTTCAGTATGGAACAGGGATCCTGGCATGGGACAGGGATCCTGATACGGGATCATGGGGGGAGGGATCGATACGGGACTGGGATCATGGAGTGGGGCAAGGATCCTGACACAGGACAAGAATCTCAGTGTGGGACTGGAATCCTGGCACGGGTCTGTGGTCCTGGTATGGGACAATGATCCTGGAATGGGACAGGGATGCCGGTGTGCTGCTGGAGTTCTGCTGAGGAACAGGGATCCCTGTATGGAAAATCAGGAATTCCTTCATCCCTAGGAAAATCTGTTTTCCTTTGGCTGGCGTTGCTGCTGTTTGTTGGGAAAATGTGGATGACATCGACATGGCCCCAAACTGACATTGGGGTCAAATCCATCCCTCAGGACCCTCCTGCCCCTTCCCTCTGGATTATCCCCCGCCAACATTCCGGCCTTTTAAAAATCGGGATGTTTCTTTCTCCCCTCCTTGGAAATGCCACCTCCCACCTCTTTTCATTGGATTCCCTCCTGTGCTCTCCACGCTTCGGACTTGGAAGTTCTGACATCCCTCTGTCCCATAAAAACCAGGCTCTGGGATGCTCCTAGCCGGGATAAAAGGCACCGGGGTGGGCTGGAATTTGGAGGAGCCTCTGACGGCTCCGTGACATGAAGCAGGAGCGGCCCCCGGAATGCCGGAGAGGTCGGGATTCTCCAGCCTGCTGGGATGATGGAGAGGAGGCTTCATCCCGAGCCCTCCGGGCCGTGGTTTTGGAGCGGTCGCAGCCACGGCTGAGGTCCGGCTTTCAAGTGTCCGTCTGCTGCGGGGACATGAAAGGAATTCCCGGTTTTTTTTTTGACAGCTGCTGAAATTCCTTTTGTGGTGTTCCCGGCCGGACTCTGCCCAAGCCGAGGGTTTGTGCTGCCTCTCCCAGCTCCGGGGGGGATTTGGGATCGCTGTTGCTTCTGGAAACAAATCCGTCTGCTGTGCTGCTGCTCTGACTCCACAGGCTTCTAAAGCAGGTTCCTGGGAATTTTACCTTTGGAATGTCTGAGCAGAGCTGTTTGGAATAGTTTTTTCCGTCAATGTTTGGGATGTTTGGAAAATGCTTGGCTGTTTCCAAGGGCTCTCTGAGGTGCTCTGGGGTGGTTGATGGATGGGGATTGGGAACTCTGGGAGACCTGGGGCAATGGCAGGGGGAGAGCGGAGGGATCCTGTGGGATACTTGGATTTGGGATTGGGAGTCCAGACATTAGAAATGGCCTCTGAGGGGGTGGGGATGGGCAGGTCTTGGAATTCTTTGGGAATCCTTTAGTACCTTCCAAAGGGATGAGACGACCTCCCCTGCCCCTGCAGAACTGCCCCCAGCCCTGGGGCCTGGCCAATGAATTTCCAGTCAGGAAAATTATCCCAGGATTTGCCATCCTTTTATCCTCCTGCCCCATTTGTTTGCTCAGCTCTTCCAGGAAATGTTGCAGGAATTGCCTTGGGAAGTTTTCCCATCCCGGTGCCACCAAGAATGGAAATTGTGGGTGTTGGAGCGCGGTGGATTTGGGATGGGGTTTGCTCTGGCACCTGCTCTGAATTCCCAGGAACAGCAATGAGCCCTGGGCAGGGAGGAGCACATTCCTGCTGGGATCAGAGTCTGTCAGGTGGAATTCCTGGATGGAGAGCTGCTCCTGCTGCGCGTGTCCCACTTCCAGCTGCTCTTCTGCCTCTGGTCACTCCATGGAAGTTCAGAGGAAGTCGTTCGTTAGAGCCAGAGCGATTGGAGCAGGTTCCTCTTATCCTCTCCTCTGCTCATCCCGTGTCCATCGCCGATGGATGGGGAGTGTGGAACTCCAGTCCCTTTGACCACTGCAAGGTCCTGGAATCATGGAATGTTTTGGGAAGGGGCCTTAAAGCCCATCCTGCCATGGCAGGGACACCTCCCACTGTCCCAGGGTGCTCCAGCCTGACCTTGGGCACTGCCAGGGATCCAGGGACAGTCCCAGCTGCTCTGGGAATTCCATCCCAGCCAGGAATTCCCAATTCCCAATATCCCAAAATCCAAGCAGTGGGAGCCATTGCCTGTGTCCTGTCCCTCCATCCCTTGTCCCCAGTCCCTCTCCAGCTCTCCTGGAGCCCCTTCAGGCCCTGCAAGGGGCTCTGAGCTCTCCCTGGAGCCTTCTCCTCTCCAGGGGAACATTCCCAGCTCTCCCAGCCTGGCTCCAGAGCAGCTGGAGCAGCTCTGGGGCCTCCTCTGGATCTCTCTGGATCTCTCCAAGTCCCTCCTGAGCTGTTGGATCCAGGTCTGGGGCAGCTCTGCAGGTGGGGAATCACCTGAGAGCACAGAGGGACAGAATCCCATCCCTGGATACCCTTTTCCAGCAGAAAATTCCAACTTGAACCCCGACCCCTTTCCTTGGCCCAGCGAGGCTGTTCCTAAGGAGTTTCTGCCATTGGTTCAGAACGATTCTCCCTTTAAAAATCCCTGTTAAAACAAGAAAACCGGGAGCTGCTTCCAGCTCTGTAGGATGTTTTTTTCCCCCCCCTCGTATTATGATATTTGAAATAAAAACACCCTGGGAGTTCCCATAAAAGTCCTGCTGAATTTATGACGTGATTGTTAGAGAGCAGAAAACGTCCAATAAAAAGGAATTTTCAACAAGAGCCCAACCTCCCACAGCTCTTCCCGGGCTCCATCTGCGGTAAATGGAGCTGGAAGGAATAAAACATCTTGGAGGCATTTGGAGATTGGAAACGTGACTAAAAATAGCAAATCCGCGCCTTTGTTAAGGATTTTTCCCTCCGGGGAATCCGAAGGATTAAAGAAAAGTGGAAGCTGGATGAGCTTATCCCACCCAGGTAGCACCAGGAAAGGTTTGCCACCTTTTTTCCCGGGAGCATTTCCTTTCCAGCTGCCCGGGATTTTGACCTATTGTTCCCAAAAATAATGACACGAAGAGAAAAGAGGGAAGGGCTTGGCGTTCCTCTGTATTTAATGGAGAATTATGGATGTTTGGGAAGCTGAGGGTGGTTCTTGCCCTGGGAATTCTTGGCAGAGTCATCCTGGCTTGATGTTTTCCAAAACGCTTCCTGGAGGTGCTGGAGCTGCTGGGATTGTGTCCTTCAGAAAGCTGAGGAGCAGCTGAAGTGTGGAATTTCTGAAGGACCTGTCCGTGTCTCTGCACGGAACGAAAGTCGGGAGTGCCGGAACACTCCAGCAGCTGGAGATGGAAGGAGAAAACTCTTCCCAATCCTGTCAGCACTTGGAGTCAAGGAAAAGCTTCCCTGTTGGTCTCCCTTGGAGCTGGGGTTGGATTGTGCCGAAGAAAAAGCCAACCCGGTAAGTTTATTAATGGAAGCTCCTGGAAGTGTCGGGAAGACCCGAAATAGCGGGAAAAGCTTCTCTTTCCGTGTTCTCCCAGCTGGAAAATCAGGACAGGTATTTGGGCAGAGGGGTTGTGTTAGAAGAATCCAGAAAGTTCTTCTGAAGGTCCTACTGGGAGGTCACTCCACACCTCAATCCCATGAGGACTCCGCTTTCCGTTATCCCTTCACTGCCTGAAACGTGTGGAAATCAGGAGGAGTCTGGCTGATGAAGGAGAAGTTTGGATGAAGGAGAAGTTTCGATGATGAAGGATCTTTAAGTTTGGGTGATGAAGGAGAAGACTGGCTGATGAAGGAGAAGTTTGGATGATGAAGGAGAAGTCCGAATGATGAAGGAGAAGTCTGAATGATGAAGAAGTCTGGATGGTGAAGGAGAAGTCTGAATGATGAAGGAGAAGTCTGGATGATGAAGGAGAAGTTTGGATGATGAAGGAGAAATCCAGTTGATGAAGGAGAACTTTGGCTGATGAAGAAGTCTGGATGATGAAGGAGAAGTTCGGATGATGAAGGAGAAGTTTGGATGATGAAGAAGTTTGGATGAAGGAGAAATCTGGCTGATGAAGGAGAATTTGGGATGATGAAGGAGAAGTTGGGATGATGAAGGAGAAGTTTGGATGGTGAAGGAGAAGTTTTGATGATGAAGGATCTTTAAGTTTGGATGATGAAGGAGAAGTCTGAATGATGAAGAAGTCTGGATGGTGAAGGAGAAGTCTGGATGATGAAGGAGAATTTCGGATGATGAAGGAGAAGTTTGGCTGATGAAGGAGAAGTCTGGATGATGAAGGAAAAGTCTGGATGATGAAG